CCTGTGCTACTCCATCACAGGGGGAAAAATACAACCGACTTAGAATCTCAATCCATCTCTCTCGAACATACTCTCTCTCTCATCGTTGCTTCCTAAGGCCAGAGGAAGTGGTGGAAATCTGTAAAATGTTTTGTAAACCCTTTCTGGGTCTGCAAATTCTCTAATTATTCTGAATATTTGGATAGGAACTTGGACCTCTTTGAAATTAATTAGTCTTTATGTACCTTCCCACTCACTAAAGAAAAACTAATTACAGAGCTACTGGACAGACTGTTTTCAGGAAAGTAACATACAAAGTGAGAATTCTTCACTGAGTGACTCGAATGCTCCATGCCTGAAGGAAGTGATGTGACCCATCCGGCTCCTTAGAATATTTGAGTCCCATAGAAATAGTGAGACCCTCAATGAGATGCGTGCTTCTAAGACCACAGAAAAGTTCAGCGAGTCCTCATCTGCCATTCACCTACTCAGAATAAGGCAAGGAAAGGGAACTTAAAGAAATTATAGAACTTACACCAACGTTCATACCATTCTAGGAAGACAATTTTAATTCGATTCCTTAATTCACCAACAACTATTTTCTAAATAAGATACATTTCTGAAAATGTTCTCCATGTACAACAGAGCAGGCACACACCTATTGAATAAGATCAGTAACCCATGTTTCTTGCATATATAACAAGTCAAACGGGCATGCAAAGCTTTTCATTTGTTTTCTGAACTTCGGTGGGATGGCACCCTATTAAACTAGGGATATTTAGGTAAAAGAAACGTGAATAAACCCTCCATAAGGGGGATCTTTCCATCTTGTTCACCGAGCCCGTCCCAGCTTCTGGAACAGAGTCTGGCACACAGTAGGCATGCAGTATTTGTTGACTAAGTAAACAGATTATACTGTGTGCTCCTTCCTATGGAGCACTGGGGAAAAGCAGATACAGGATAATAAAAGTGGTGAGGCCAGACGGGATTTATTTTTGGAAACTCTGTGAAAATCCTTCCTAAAAGCTGGTTCAGTAGCTAATATCAACAATGTTATTACTCAGCTGAGAAACTGACGCATAAAAAGCAGTTGGACTCAGCAATTAATTCCTGAGCCACAAGGTTTCATTTTCACACATTTTAGGGATCCGCTCAGATTTATTACTGAGAACACTCTTCTCTCCCCCTCCGATTCCTTTCCTTCCGATCACTCCTCAGCCTACTGCAATCTGTTTTCTGATCCCCACACGGCTCTGGCAAAAGTGACCAATGACCTCCTGTTGCCAAGCACAATGGACACTTGACATCTCAATGGCATCCAACAGAGGTAACCTGTCGCACCCTCTCCTCGGAGCTTCCTTAACACTCACTCTCCAGAACACTCGTTCTGGCTGCTGCTTGAACTTTGCCAGGTCTTCTCTACCTGACACACACACGTGTGGGGCCCTCGGCCTTTGCCTGGGCCTCTTGTTTTCTTCTCTTTCTATATCTTCTATCTGCTCCATGTTCACCTGCTCCCATGGCTTCAAATAATATACCTACGACTCCCAGTCTCTCTCTTCTGAGCTCCAGTCCCAAAGGCCCGCCGGGTATCTCAGCGCCACCTGAAATTCACCATAACCAGAATGAAAATGGTTCATTCTTCCACACCCAAACTTTTCCCTCGCTGTGTTCTTTTGTAGTGATGCCACCATTTACCCAGCTGGGAACTTCAGAAAGTGCCTGTCCCTGGTCCTCATCCAATCTTCCATTCTGCTCATTCTACCTCCAAACTTTCTCTAGAACCATCCACCTCTTTCCTGCTCCGCAGGCACCACCCTCCTGTAAGTCACCCTGTTTTCTCCTCACATCCACCCATGCTCCCTTCCAATCCAAAATCATCTTTTAAAGTGAAACATTGATCTTGTCATATCATGTTGAAAACTATCTAGTGGCTTCCCATTGTTTTTAGCATAAATTTCAACGTCCTTAACGAGATCTCCATCTCTCTCTCTGGACTTTTCTTGGACCACTCCTGTCACCAGCATCTCTGAATAGACCTCTCAATAGAATCAATAATAAAGAATGACTCTTGGGGCCAGCCCCATGGCCCAGTGGTTAAGTTTGCGTGCTCTGCTTCTGTGGCCCAGGGTTTGCCAGTTCAGATCCTGGGCACGGACTTACACACCACTCATTAGGCCATTCTGTGGCAGCGTCCTACACAGAAGAACTAAAAGGACTCATAACTAGGATATACCTATGTACTGGGGCTTTGGGGAGGAAAAAAAAAAAAAGAGGAAGATTGGTAATAGACGTTAGCTCAGGGCCAATCTTCCTAAAAAAAAAAAGAATGACTCAAGACCTTAAAATACGCCATATTCTGAAAAGCCTCAAAAACAAAACAAAACCCACACACAATCCAAATCAAATGATTTTTGTGTAATTTAAAGCCAGTCTTCACTATTCATATTTATCAAAAGTAGCTTCAAAATATCTTTTGTTACTATGTGGCTACAAACAGTTTATCACATAATGATTCAGAGTGAAAAGCTGCTTTTTCTTGTCAGAGAATCAAGTCACTAGACTTCTGTGAAGTTCCAAAGGACCTTTCAGACACTGTGGCTCCCAGAATTTTCCAGATCAGTAAAAAAATTAACAGGGGCCCAGCACAGGGGAGTCCAAATTTTTACTCTCCTCAAGTGGAGATGTTAAAACAAACAAAACAACACCCACACACATCAAGAAAAGAGTATTTTAAAGAACAACAAAAATTGGAAGCCCATAAAATCAGAATAAAAGCTAACATTCTAAATTAATAATTTTAGTTTTATGCCCTCATTTTTCTCATTTCATTAAAGACTCCTGAAAGCAGCTTCCCAAACTGACACCAGTGGCTGAACCAGATTTTGACAACCAATGTTCTAGGCAAGAACTATTAAATTCATGGAGGGGCCATTGACTCTTCTTGTTTTAAAAATAGCTTTTAAAATACTTTCGCTTGAAAAAATAAAGTATTGAGAAAGAAAATTAAAAAGGAGCCCTTGACATCCCAAACTGCTCTGAGGTTCTCAACTAGACTTTGTAGTATTATCCTAAGCTGCTCTGACACTCACACCAGGCCATTTCTGTTCTCCTGTTGGACATAAGCAATCTCACAGAATACCTACCTCAATTAAGGTTACCCTGAGACATGATAAAGCAAGGCCATTTCATGATTCTGTCTAAGCACAAACAAAAACAAGTGGACTGTGCAACCCACAAAATACCAAACCGCCCCTTCTCTTACCAAATGAATGACTTTTTTCTTTACCCAATCATAGAATTGCCCCACTTTCTAAAAGCATTCAATCTAGAGCCACCCCTGATTTCTTAGACCTACCCCTCAAAGTCCACATTATGAAATAGGTTTTTCTAATGCCCTTTTACTGAGTGCCCCACAGTTGCCCATGGTATGCATTCTCCCTCACTGCAGGGAGTAATAAACCCAATTTGTTTAACTACAGGTGTGTTTCCTGGTGGTCTTTGGCTGAAGGGCATTGACAGTATCAAAATATTAAATTCTTTAAAAATTCCCATAATCCCAACCACTTTAAAGTGAATTAATTCCCTACCCACATTACAGCAAACTTTTATTTTTCCTTATGCCCTTCCAATTCTTGTCCACATGTATATACTGTGTATTTTTCTATTACTGAAACTACTGTACATACCATTTTGTATTCTGCTTTTATTTGCTTAACATTATATCGACTTTTAATGCCTGAATAGTACCGCACCATGATTTCCTTCTTAAAGCATTTGTCGTTAGAGAAATAAAAGAATAAGAAAGGAGAATGCACATCTTGCTCCCATTGTCAAAATCCTACCCAAGCTATTCAAGATCATCCTCATCTAGCCTCAGGTCAGATGCACCCAAGTTCCTATTTATCTCATCTATTGGCAAGAAAAATGCAGTCTCATCGCTTTTAAAGAGAATTACGAAAGAGCACCCGATCGGGCGGTAAGAGACTTGAGTGTAGACACGCTAAACATCAGTGTGACCTCTGGCTAGACATTTTCTCAGTCCGAGTCTACTTCCTCCGCGGTAAATTAAGAGAGTCAGGATCGTCCCTTACTGTCTGTTGCAGTTATCAAGTCTGTGACCCTGTGACTTCCTTGCGAGGAAAGAGCCACGGGACAGAGGTTCACATGACCGGGGGGTAAAGGCCACAGCAGCCACACCGGGGCCCGCCCAGGCTGCTCCCATCGCTCTCAGGGGGAACGCCTCGGCCTTTGCCAAGGCCCTCAGGATCCTCAGCTCCAACTTTTCTTCCAGCACCTCGTCACCTGGCAGAGAATGCCGGTTATCAGCAGTCTGTCGCTTAACCGAGTTAGAGACATAAGTCGACCGGAACTTTTTCTCTTAGTAGGTCAGGACGCGCGAGGCTGGAACTGGCAGAACAAGTGCAATCACTCAAATTGGGGTTATGCAAACCACAACCACCATTCTGCAGAGAGCAGATTTCACTAGAAGGTTTTCTCGTTCCAGCTTGTACCGAATCAATCCGGGGAGAGGTTCCCCAGCCGGCTCTGCACCACACTGCTGCGCAAGAAACCACAGACCCGGGTGCAGATGCTGCCCAGGACCAGGTGTTCCTCGCGCCCCTCCCTGCCACACCTGCACCTGCACGGCCTTCTCCGCGCCCGCAATCAAGTTCAACCCACCGGCGGCGCGTGCTGCGCCACGGCGCAGGTGACGGCCACGGCCAGGACGACGAAGGGAAGGCGACTCCGGCCCAGCATCTTTCCAGCCACCAGCGCCACTCAAAGGGAAACCAGAGGTCGCTGCAGAGGATCCACCTGGGCTTAGAGCAGGCCGCGCCCCTGCCGCTGCGTGCCCGGGCCCGGGATCGTACCACTCGAGGAGGGGGGGAGCGCGGAGGACGCGGGGCAAGAAGGAGGGGCCGGGGCTTTTCGGTGTCGTGGAGAGGGCGGCAGGAAGAAGGAGCCTTCCCAGATGGAGGAGGGACCCGGGGGCTGGGAGTCAGCCCTCGCCTTAGGACCGTGGCGTGGGTCGGACCCCCTCTCTGAGGGCAGTGGTTGGGCCGAGCCAGAGCCCCGCCCCGGAGGGTGGGGCTGAGGAGTCCTTTCCCTGGCCTGGCCCACCGAGGTCTGCGCCCACCTCCACGCCGGGGGAAGGGCGGGGAGGGGGCCTTCCGGTCACGGCCGCGGGCGGCGTGGAGGCTGGACGTCCTGCTTCCCCTCAGGGCCTGGTGGCACCTGTGCACCGTCCCCAAACCGCCCAGGGCGAGGTCGGCACTCGGGCCACCTGATGCCAAGTGCCCATGAAACGGACCCGACTCTCGAGATTCTGATAACGCGGCGTGACATTCGACCCCGACCCATCTTTGCCCCCTGAGGAGAGCAGGCCCGAAGTGAGTGAGGTTCTTATCCTGACCGTGGGGACGCTGGGCAAGCCCAGGTGTCAGGGCCCGGGAGGGAGGATGATCTGACCCCCTGGATACCCCAGGCTGGGAATTACCCACTTAGCCTCTGGCCGCAGAGCTGACAAGTCCCAGAACTTAGGTTTCAGTCACCTGCACTGAGACACAGGTGGAAGGACCAGGTAGAACTGCGAACCTGCCCTCACTGATGGGTCAGCCGTCCAGCGGCTGTGTGTTTTCCCCTAACTCGTGAAAGGCTTTAGGTTACAGAGCTGAGCGAAACCTGGGAGGAGGGTAGTATTCCGTGTCTACTTAGCCTGCACCTGAAAAATAGATTTACAGATGTCTTTCCCTTGGCATTCGTGTCTTCAGTGGACGCAGGCGCCCCGGAAGGATGAGTTACTTAAAAGTCCAGCAGGAAATCCTACCCTCTGGGTTCCGCTTTCTGGTTGAGTCTCTTTGACATCCCAACGAGCATTTTTTTAATGCTGCAGTAAAATTCAGAATGCTATCACTAAAATCTTCATACATTTCTTTTTTCTTGTGTGTGTGTCTGTGCAATTGCAATTTTACCCATGTATACTTCTTAGCAAAATCGAGCATTCTTTTTGTTGGAGGTTGGGAAATAAGAATTTGATGTTTTGGGGATTTTCTAGTTTCTTTTTTTTTTTTTTTTTTTTTGGTAGAGGACCATGTTCCTCTCTTTGAGGAGGAAGTTTGACTTTTGAAACATATCACATGATTAAATTGATTGCTGATTCAACAGTGAGCAAGCAGGTCATAGAAATGTTCAGTAATTCTGGGGCCGGCCTGGTGGCGCAGGGATTAAGTACGCCCGTTCTGCTTCTCAGTGGCCAGGGGTTCGCTGGCCTGGATGCTGGGTGCGGACATGGCACTGCTTGGCAAAAGCCATGCTGTGGTAGGCATCCCACATATAAAGTAGAGGAAGATGGGCGTGGATGTTAGCTCAGGGCCAGTCTTCCTCAGCAAAAAGAGGAAGATTGGCAGTAGTCTAGTCTCAGGGCTAATCTTCCTCAAAAAAATAAATAAATAAAAATTAAACATTTGGTTGAATATATTTCTCATCAATAAATTGAATTAAAAAAAATAATAATAATTCAAAAAATATTTACTGTCGACCCTCAAAGTGCCAAGCATTTCTCCAGACACTGGGGATAGGCGGGGAACAAAAATGACAGGAAGTTCCTCCCTCGTGAGGTTTACATTCTAGATGAGAAATGGACAATAGACATCACACATAGGAAAATTTATATAGGCGGTTAGAAGGTGAAAAATATAGAGAAAAAGCAGAGTGACGGGGATCAAGAGTAGGGAGAGTCACGGTGTTAAATAAGATGGCAGGATAGGCGTTATTGAGAAAGTGAAGTTTGAGTGGCGATTTGAAGGAAGTGAGGGAGTTAGCTCTGTGGATGCCTGGGGAAGAGTTTTCTAGGCAGAGGGAGCAGCTGGCACAAAGACTTAAAGGTGAGAATGTGCCTGTCCTGTTTGCCTACAGTGAAAAAGTCATTGTGGGTAGAGCAGTAGGAAGAGGGAGTAAAAATAGATGGATTCCGAGAGGTGGGGGGTAGGGCAGATCTTCTGGAGCTTTACCAGCCGTTGTAAACGCCTCGGCTTCACTCTGGGCAACTGAGTAATCTGTAAATATGCTGAATTCACTTGCCCCTCAGAATGAGTCTGTCAGAAGTAGAGGATTCCTATCTTTTAGTATATAAATAGCTATTTGGTTTGAAGATCATTCACCTTAAATACTATTGAGGGCACTTTAAGCATATCACCAAACACATTTTTTCCCTGTGAGGGGATATTCATTGGTGGCTAGGTGGTCTGGCCAAATCAGATCCTTTAAGCATAAAACTTCCGTCAATTGGCGTAATATTCTTAGGCACAATTTTCATGTAATTTTGTGTTTAACTTTCAAATATCTATTATATATATATATTATTGATTCTATTTTCAGACAAATTAGAAATTTAAATCGACTTCCCTAAAGTTGTACCATTTTATGCCTGTTTTTTCCTTACACACAGAAAATGGTATTGAAATGTACAAATGAATTACTGTCTGTGGGAAGGGTGGTGCACATACTATCTTCACAGCCAGCATCAAGTTTAAGACCTGGGTAACCTGTTTAGTACAGTGTGCAAGAGTCAGCATCGGTAATCAAATTGTTTATCAGAATAGCTGAAGTTCTTGGCAAGCTATGGACCTTTTCTAATCTCTTACCTAACACTGCTGGATTCCTGAGATGGAGCCCATGATTTAAAATCATTGCAACCTAACCACCCCACCCTAAATGTAATCTACCGCACATCACACCACATCACAGGTGTGAACAAGTGTGATTTGATTTAATAAAGCTAGATATTCAAAAATTTGTATTAGAAGATCAAGAAACATGGAGATAATGTCTGTTTGAAAAATAAACATTTTACTAGAAGGATTTACCAATGAGTTGTTTAATTAAAAAAAAGTTTAAGTATATTTAAAATGTGATCTGAGTTTCAAAATTTAGATTTTTGTCTTTCTTTTCAGGAAGGAATGTAGAAAATAAAAGTTGAAACAAATGGAAAATCAGAAGTCATGCAAAATTATGTGATTCTTTTTCTCCAGTAGCTTTATCACACTAAGAATGATGACTTGCTTTCTATTTTACTTTTACATAGAAAAATATGTTAAATCCTTACCTTTGGCTCAACGTATTCCATTAGGCAACAATAAGTTTAGTGCTCTCATTTAACCTAATTGCCCCCCCATATAATGGCAAAATAAAATAGTTATCTTAATTATCCTTCGCTTTTCATGTATCTTACTGTTTCTTTGTGAAGCAGTTTTTATGTCTTATTGAATCTGTGACACCTCAGCCATGTTAGAGTTTGAAGAGCTACTTAAAAGGAAAACCATTTTGTCCTGTTCCCACTTTCTTTGGTAAGACATGGTCTGACCTGAAAATTGTCAGTTCAGCTCAAATCCAGTAATCTCTGTCTTTTTTTTTTTGTCTGCTTTTTCTCCCCACATCTCCCCAGTACGTAGTTGTACATTTTAGTTGCAGGTCCATCTAGTTGTGGCATGTGGGACGCCACCTCAATATGGCCTGACCAGCGGTGCCATGTCCGCACCCAGGATCCGAACCAGCGAAACCCTGGGCTGCTGAAGCAGAGCGCGCGAACTTAACCACTTGGCCATGGGGCCAGCCCAGTCGAAGTCCTTTTGTTGTTCTGACTTCATATTCCTGCATAGTTCCATTTTACATCAGCCATTGCAGTTACCTATTTAATGCTCCAACCAGCTGTTTCTCATAGGTTTCTAGTAAATTCATGCATTCTGTTTTGTTTTGTTTTTTTTTTTGAGGAAGATTAGCCCTGAGCTCACATCTGCTGCCAATCCTCTTTTTGCTGAGGAAGACTGGCCCTGAGCTAACATCCGTGCCCATCTTCCTCTACTTTATATGTGGGACACCTCCCACAGCATGGCTTGCCAAACGGTGCTGTGTCCGCACCCGGGACTTGAACAGGTGAACCCCGGGCCGCAGAAGCAGAACGTGAGCACTCAATTGCTGCGCCACTTGGCCGGCCCCTCTCAGTCAGTTTTGAGCACTTCCTCTAGGTGCTGGGCAACTAGTGAACACATGATACCTGCCCACCTGGGGCTTTCAGCCTATGGTAGAGAAAAATGAAGATGGAGGGGAAAATGTAAATTGAATGAACATCTTGAAAACTTTCACTATATCCGGCTCATTATTTTATTCTCTAACGACCTCTGGTTTAATGTTGTGGGTGATTCACCAACCTCAATTCCACTCCTCCATTATGGACCCGCCACGTGATCTGCATGAGCCATATCCTTGTCCTTAGCCTTATCTCTGGAGGTGGGCCTTGGTCGACCTGACATTCAAGGTTACCCTACTCCTCATGCCACAGTGCTTGGCTCCTGAAAGCCTTAGTCACTCAGACTCTTGAGTCCACCGGGCCATGGTTTGAAGCTCAAGGCAATGGTCCTTTCTCTTCTAACAGGGAAGAATAAGTTAGTAGTTCCCGTTGCTGCTGGCATTCATGCTTTAACCTTGAAGAGTGCTGCCTGAGGATGAATAGATACAGTGGACAGCACAGAGGAGAGATTAAAGGAAACCAGGTTGTTAGGGCCTTGTTAAGCTAGGTGAACTAACCATGGAGCCTGTCCAAGAACTGGACTCTTCATTAATGTGAGCCGCTGCTCTTCTTTATTATTTAAGCCAATTCAGGTTGGTTTGCCTGCAAAGTGAATTATTGCATCTGAGAGTATCCTAACTGATGTACCCATTAAGATAGGTATTTCTGCCTTCTCAAGAGTGGAGGAGGTTGTATTGTAAAGCTGGAACGCTTAAGTCTCAGGACCTTCGCTTGCTCAGGCCTCTTCCAAGCCTTCTACCTAATTTTATACTTGTAATTTTGTATTCTTTTCATTAAAGAGGACCATCCAAACTGTAGAAGCTTCAGGCCTCACAAAAACTGGATCTACCATCAGACGTTTTTGGGAGAAAACGTCCAGCTTTCTCTCCGATCCCCTCAATTCATGTCTCCCTAGGGGAGGAGTGCCTTACCTAATTGGTAAATGGCTGGAAGGGTCATTGCGCATGTGTGGCCTGGCCTCTCTGGCGCTCTCATTCAGACCTGCCTGCCCGCGGTGGTAAGCTCACTACAGCAAGCCCTGGACAACAAGCGTGGAAGGGGTCGTAGTTGCTGCCTTCGACCACATCTTCCAGAGTTGGCACCTCTCCAACAAATCTTTCAAACACTATGTTAACCTGGTGGCTGGGAAGACTTGAAGAAAGCATCTTGAAAGGCTGGCTCTGGGAGATGGGGAGAGAAGGTAAACAAGGAATGGAGCCTTTTGTAAATACTTGCGTCGGCTGCCCCCCAGCCCAGCCTCACCCTGCCCTCAGTTTACTCCCCCTCACCTTAGAGACTGGCTGTGTACCAGGGAAGCAGTGTGCA